GCGCGGCGGCTGGCGATAACGTTTAATCTGCATATTATATAACTCACAAGACACATTCAATACAAAAATAAAACAATACAAATAACGTGATATGTGTGTGAGACCAGCTGTTCCTCCGTGACTAGTGATAATTACCTTCTTAATATATTACTTGCTACCTACTATGTTGCGGCGTCAACATACAGTATGTGTTTATTTTTTATATAAAAATATCGTATTTTTCTTCCACGCAACGGAAAATTAAGAATAACAATATTTTATCAATAGAATATGGTTATTTTGGTATTGGTATTTTAACTAAGAAAGAAAAAGATACATAAACTACAATGATTTTAATAAATACTTCTTCAATGTAAAAAGTTCATAGTTAAAAATTATATTTATTATCAATTAAATATAAGAATATATACATTATAGAAATTCCATTGGAAAAATGCTTTCTGTAGTTATATCTGCCGTTGTAGTAAGACCTTCAAAATTGTATCATTCATTTGCTTACATTATTTCCAACAATAGGTTCTACATATGATGACTGCAGGATTTTTCTCTCAATTCCAGCTGTAATGAGTTACTCTTTTTCTTCTTTCAGTTGTTTCGGTTCTGGAGTTGACACACTATATTCCTGTTGACTTTCAATAGGTTCCGCCAATATTACATTAGGTTCTGGAGCATTTTCATCAGGTTCCGAGTCTAGCCTAGGTTCCATAGAAGTAATAGATTTCTGTGTTTCTACTACAGAGTCTATCGCTGTTGAGTTTGGTTCCGGTATAGGTGTAATAGTTAATGAGTCATTAGGTTCTGTTGCATTCGCACCAGGACCTGTCGTTTCAATAGGTTGTAGCATTTCTGAGGTAGAGTTTGGAGCACCTACACTGGGTTCTATTGATAATAACGTGGGTTTCGATACTGCAACACCTTCTTCTATCGCTGTACTAGATTCAATCTTTGCTTCCGGTGTTTCTACAATCGACTCTGACGCTGCATTTGGCTCAGGTGCAATAGGGTCCGTAACTGGTTCCGTCGCCTGAATAGGAGGCGACTTTGCAATACTAGGATTTAGTGTTTCTGCACTGTTTTCCCCTAGTTTGATGGGTACTATCGTTTGTGGTTGATTTTTAGTTGCTTCGGTGTATTGCCAGTAGCAATGCAACATTGTCATGTACATCAACTCGTACACAATAGCTATAATAAACTCACTATTTAGTTATTAACATTAAGAAAACTCGGTAAGACAATTGTACTCGTAGACAGGCTAATAAAGGTACATATTTTAAGTTGAAGCAAAATTGTTTTTTTAGAGCTTTATTAGAAATATTTAATTGTATACTACATAGGTACATACTTACCAAGAAAATGCATTATAAATTGAAAATATCTGACTGAAACCCAACTGGAACTAACGAAATGTATAAAATGTTAAAAAGCATATCAGGTTATGTAAGTTTAAATTTAAAATACAAATATGTACAACAATAATACTAAAAATCAAATCAACTTACTTAGAGCTACGGAAAATAAGTTGAAACATGTCTAAAACGCATCCGATTCCCGTTATGCTTAATGAGTTGTGGATATGATTGGTTATTCCCTAAGGAAAATTATAAAACAGGTAATGATTTGTTATTTATGGTTGCTATTAACTGTATGATAAACATATTATTACGTCTCTACTAATTAACTCTAATATCACACCTCTACCATAATGAAAAGTCACATTTCCTGCTAATTATTTAAGACGGGCTTAGAAAATAGACTCGGTAAAATGTGTTATTAAAATGTTCACCCTTTTAGATCCACTCTATTCTTGCCTAGTCAACCTTATACATATACTTAACATAAAATTTACCATTAATATTGCTCCGATGGCGTAACTGGCTCCAATGTAGTGAATACGATTCATCATGTTCATAAACGTCATCACCTGGTGTAACGTTGGGAAAGAATACAAAATATGTGAGGGTGTGAGATTCAACGCTCAGCTGCAATTCCCCGTTCCCCTTCGCCCACTTTAGAATTTCGAAACAGAATCGACTTCACATTCGTTTCCTTGATGTGTGCTTGTAATCCCGTAGTTTGTGCTCCATTCATTCCAAAGTCATCCAACTTTCAAAGTGGGGGGTACAAGCTCGGACTGCCTACTTTAAAAATCCAAAACCAAACTTATGCCGTTCTTGTGTACTTCGTTTGTTCTGGTTTGTGCTGTTAATCCTATCATTTGTGCTTTATTCCTTCCCGAAATACACTTTTTTGAAAGTTGTTGGCTTAATGCACTCCCCTTTGAAAAAGATAATATTTTGTGATGATACCTGTCCTCTATGGCTTACAACCATAAAACATTTAATTTCCCCGTAAACCCTTGAGAATAAGAAATTATTTTTATAAGTTTCCGTGATCAATCAATGGATCTTAAATTTAACCGATACTGTTTATTATTTTTTGTAATAATTATATTGCTTACCCAATTTTACATCAGCTGAGGGTATTTTTAAACACAAATTTTTGTACCCATTTTGTGTCAGTTGCTGTTTATATTTTTACAAATATAAGGTATGTTGCACCAAATATTTTATTTTTAGATAATTAATTATAATTTATTGTATTTATATAATACGTAAAGTACCTTCTAGGTTGTTTGGAATTGGTCATATAGTATGAAATTAAAAAACAACTTTTTCTAAACTATAATTTTTTTAATGAGACGTTAAAAATGCTTTACTAAATAGTGGAATGGAAAAACCCAACCTAATTGTATAAGTTCAGCTGTGGGTAAGGTGTTTATTAGTTTTACACTTAAGTCGTACACATTTGAAAAATGTCTATACATATTCCATACTTTATATTTTCAAAAATAAAATTATGAAATTTGTATTTAGGGGTATGTTTAAGAAGGTGATTTGGAATCGTACTTATTTCTCCCTGTCCCTAGGGACATAGACCTCAGCAACGCTTGAGAGACAGTGCTTCCCGTATAAGGGACAAGGACAAGATGTAAGGACTAGAGAGATAATAGGTTATATAGGAAAGCCCCGGATACGAAATGTTCAGACTTGACTTTAATGAGCTAGTACGAGCAACTCCACGCTAGTTGTCTTTTTAAATTCATTTTTAGGACTTCATATTTTCAGCCAGTAATATATTTTATTTAGAAACTAAACGAGTCAAATAATATATTTTATATTATTCACTAAACTGAATATTTTATACCTCTTTGTTCATTTTCTTTAAAATCATTATCAATTATGGAGCATTTTCAATATACAATAAAAATTTTACCAAAGCATTCAAGTTGAAATTCATAATTAAACACATCTACATCTTCTCTGCATCGTCATCATCACCTGTACTAAGGCAAACGCTAAAAATAGGTATCCAGTTAAATTTTAAATCTAATACATTTTTTTTAAAAATAAATTGAAACTGACTCAAAAAAGGTAAAATAATCTGATTAAATAATATCCTTATTTAGTATAAAATTATAATTGAAAATATTAAATAAATTAGTTACATTTAAGATCCGCTGATTTTGTCGTAAATCATTTTATAACGTATGGAAATCACCCAAAATTACTGTAGTGTTCTTAATTATTATTTGTAACTTGTATGTATATTTATTATATTGTTGTGCCTGTTCATTTATAATTTATTTATATATATATGTATTTATGTGGCTTATCGATCTTGCGGACCGACCACATTACCTGTTATATTTTTGTAGGTATGCGTCGACCCGACGATCCGGCCCGACCGCCGAGACCAACACGATATTATTTCTTATTATATTATTATAGATTTAGTACTAAACAGTTGATTGTCAATCGTCACCACTCGTACATCGGTGTGTGCGACCATCATTTAATATATACCTACATTGGATATTGTATTTGTTTTTTATTTGAACCACCACTCTCATGCCATCATTATAAAGAAATCCACTAATCCTCGTGGGTTTTCAGTACAAATATAATATATTTAAAGTGCCACCTTGATCACAATAATCACTGGAGTGTTGGGATTTAAATCCATTTGTCAAGTCACAAATATTTTTGTTTCCAAAAATCGTTCAAACTTAAAAACAATTATCTAATTCACAAGGGTTTGAGTTTTTCTGGGAAATCAAAGGTTTTACGACTTGACACCATAGAAAATTATAATGTGGAACGTTTACATCAAGATAAAATATTACTTTTTACAAAGGGAACCATTAAATACATTTAATATTTATACATTAAAGCCACCAACTTTCATAGATGTGTATTTTGAGAAGGGAACAGCACAACCATCACAAACGAAGCACACAATGGCGAAAGGTTAAGTCATAGATTTTCAAAATGAGAGGGGTAAGCATGTCCCCAGCACTCCTCTTTGTAAGTCAGACAATATTAGAAGGGATTGAGCGTAAGCGATGGGATTACAGGCACAATCGAAAGAAGTTAATTCTGTTTCGAAATTTCAAAGAAATGGCCTGAAAATGGAGCTAGGGATCTCGACCATATTATGTATAATATAGGAAGGCAACGATATGTGTTGTTATATTTATATATATATTACTTACCAAACAAACAACTGTTAGAAGGAGTGTATATTTTTGGATAAATGCATTTTTAACTGAAAACTGAATCTTGACCATAATTGTTATAAAGTAAACGTATTAAAAAGAAATAGTAAGTTACTCACTGTAATTTTTGATTTAATCGATGTGTTTATATAACAATTAAATATTGCTTGTTATGGTTAATTTGTAAATATTACAATAACTATAGTTATTCGAGCCTATTATTAGATTTGTTTTTTTTTAAGGCGTTCGAATGAAAATCACAGTTAGTAACCGTATAATTTATTATGGTTGCTGTAGCCTGTAGATATAATAATTGTGTATTGTATAGTAGTTGTTTTGCAATGGAAGAGGTGTACCCACAATTGGATCTCATTATAGTAATTACTGTCATGTCAAAGATAACGGATTCACACAAAGTTCATTACGCCCTATATTATTCTCCGGAGTTGGTAAATTGCATCCCGCAAAAATGGTCATAGTTATATACTGCGTAAATTGCGAATTTAAATTTAAAAAAAAAAAAAAAATTAAAAATTAAAATTAATTAAAATTCCAATTTCCGGTCGGCTGGTTATATTATCTTTAATATTGATCGATAAGATCACTTGATGCTCACTTATATAATATTACTTGCCGCCAGTGTGCTGTATGCATTTGATCGAAATATTTCGCACGAGTTTTTACATTGGTCTACAGTATTTACAGTATTTGTTAAATTAGTATTTGTATTTTTTTTTTAATTTAATAACAATGGAAGTTATGAAAAGTGAAAAAAATAAAACGTTGAAAATAGTTGATGGTTTCAAATTTCGTTTTCAAAAACTTCTGAAGAATGATATTCAACGTTGGTGTTGTACAGTCAAAACTTGTAAGTGTTTTTTAAAATTTAATAATAATAGTATACGTATAAATAGCTTTAAAGATCATAACTATCTACAACTTTCGGAACAAATTATAAATCGTCAACAACTTAATAATAATTTAAAAAGAAAAGCCGTTGATGATATTTTTACAAGGCCATCTAAAATTATTCATTCTTAGTTAAAAAATGCTGATGTCGAATCTTTAACTACACAAGACGTAAAATTGATTAATAGAAATTTACACAATGCTTGAGCTTCTATACTACCAAAATTACCAGACACTTTTTTGGAATTACATAATATTTTTGACAAAATGGAATTCAAAACAAACAAAAATGAAAATTTTTTGCTAGTAAATAGTAAAGAAACAAATATAGTAGGTTTCTCTACATTAAGAAATTTAAAAGTGCTATGCGATTCGGATACTATATTTGTAGATGGTACATTCAAAAGTTGTCCAAAATTATACTATCAATTATTTACTGTTTACTGTGCAATAAATCAGTCTTATGTTCCACTCGTTTATATTTTATTACCTTCGAAGACTACAGTGTTATTTACAAGCGTTTCATCATTTAGTTATAGAGTGCAAAAAAAATGACTTACAATTTAATCCTATTCGGTTATATGCAGATTTTTAAAAGGCTATTCACAATGCTGCAAGACATGTTTGGCCTTCTATTGAAGTAAAAGGGTGTAGATTTCACCGTGGTCAAAGTTGGTACAGGAAAATACAGCAGCTAGGATTAAGTAATGATTACAAAAGAAATAATACCGATACAAGTAATTTCTTAAAATTATTTTTTGGGCTTCCTTTTTTGAGTTGTAATATGGTTGAAGATTGTTTTGCGTTTGATATAATGGCATTGTAACCACAAGATAATAGGATAGTACAATTTACCGACTACATATTAGAAACATATATAACCGACGACGCGGAGTTTCCATCACAGATATGGGCTGAATTTGTATCCTAAACGATGCGCACTACAAATAATTGTGAATCATTTCATAAAAAATTAAATAGTTCGTTCAATTCGTCACACCCAAATATATTTAATTTTATTGAAATTTTAAAAAACATGCAATTTGATATGTAAATTATATTAAAAAGTTAGGGAACAAAAAGCAAAAAATATTACTCAGTTAGACTATGTGCGGGAATTATCTTATAAGTTTTTACCAGTATATTAATTCGAATTTTTATAATACTATTTTTTTCACTATACACATTTTTACTTATTTTTAATAATATATTTTTTAATTATAAACAAAACAGCAAAACCAATATTTTTAACCATACCAATATGAATACAATTATATTGCCAGTCCTAAGTCTGAAAAATGAGAAGGAAAATATTGATTTTGTAATTTACATAACAATGACAAATATTTAAGTAGGCAAATATATTAAAATATACCGGGCCCGCAATTTACGTATGTATAAAATATACCCGGGCCGCAATTTACATAAAAAATTTGAAACGGGACGCAATTTACAGCGACCCTTATCCTCAATCTTTATCGTCTGCGTTATTAAAGGGTAAATTGTTCATGCTTGCTAATGATATAAGAATAGTTAATATCGAAGGCAATTGGGAAAAATTAAGACTAAGTGTTAAGCAGGAGACACTGGACTCCATCTGTTAACAATGTTTATTATTTTATGTTTTTAGTAATGCTAATTTTTAAATATGTACCTATAGATACCCAACAACGGGAACTGAGAATTGGAAGTGTTCTAACCTCTAAATAGCTCTTAATGAATAGTATGCTTCTAATGAAAGTTAAATTAGAAAAAATTGATTACTATGAATGATATAAATATGTTATGGGTGTTTGACAGTTTTAAACTCGAGGAGGTATGAGTCCATAATTGATATTATATGATATCACTACTACTACTCAAAGAATAAACTTATGTAAGTAAATATCTCAAACATAATACAATTATTATAGTAATTAGTAACACTATGTAACCACCTTTAAACACCAAAAAACATACTGTTTACTACAACTTCAAAGTATCTTGGTGGTAAATTTATAAAATTAATTTGTTTTATAATCAATTTATCAGGGACGGAAACCGGTTTTATGAAAACCGGTTAAAACCGGTTAATATTGGGTTTTGATGATTTATCTTAACCGTAACCAGAGCGGGAGCAATAAAACAAGAGAGCGGTTTTCAAGTCCGAGATTGAAACCCGTGGACCGTGGTTATTTGAACGGTAACCAAAACCGAAACCGTTTTTTTTACTTAGTGGTTAACCGGTTTTTTAAATTAAATGATTTCTGATACTATTATGTTATTTAATATTTTAGAAATATCCGAACATAAAACATTAAAACGAGAGTCGATAATCTGTGAATATAACGGTTAAACTATACAATTCTCTGTAGATATAATAAATATAAATTGAATTCCACTTATATTTTGTTATATAAGTTTATTATACTATTAGGTAGGTAAATATTATATATTATATACCTAGACACCTAGTAATTAGTATATATTGCTATATATTTTTTCGTGTTTTGTGAACACCGTCTGTTATGCACTTATGCTGGTATTGATCAATAGATTAAGATTTTGAATTTCTCAGAATATTTGATAGGTACCTATCTAATTGATTTAGTGATTAGTTTAAGTTTATCAATACTGGTTACTTATTAATTCTTAGTTATTAGTTATTAGTTATTAATAAATAATATACCTAGTGTCCGACGTAGTCGCAATAACTTGTTATTGGAAAAAAATATACGTACAAATTAATAATAGACCGTATATAGTCGTAATGACTAATGTCGTATATTAATTCATTTAAGTTATTGGTATTTGTGATTTTCTATCAATAATATAAGCCATAAGGTTTTCGATGAGTATTGAAAGTTATAGCTATTTATAACTTAAATAATTAAATGTTGATACTATTATCATTGCAGTTTATTAGCTTAATAATGTGATTTATTTGTGATAATGTGATTTCGTATTTTCATGGTGTTTATTTGAAATACACCAGTGCGTACTGTCAATTCGCGTTAAGTTGTCGTGCGAATGTCAAGTAGGTAACTAAATCCCACAAAACAATTAAATGTGTTGTACATATTTTTACAACATTCACCAAAAACATGAAAATATTGCTTAAATTTGTTTTTTTTATGTAATCTAAGTGTTTAAAATATTCTCACAACGTTGTGACAACGATTTGTGGCAGGAAATTCCATATTGCAACAATAACTTTTTGCAATATTGTTTTATTTAGGTTTATCAATATTTTGAAAATATTGTCTATAAATATTTTTTAAATGTTTTTTTTTAATGTTGCACATGTAGCTTGCTTTTTTTTTACAAAAACAAATATGATGGGTATATGATTAATCATCTGATATATTATAACAAAATACATTTTACGTATTAATAGTTATATGGGTGTAATATTATATTTTAGATTATATGTATACATTTATACAACTTAAAGTATATTTATAAAACAAGTTATTATATAGAAAGAGTATCGAATGTTTTAAATTTTAAATAGAAATAAAATAAACTTGATAAAACTGTTTACTCATCTATTTAGTATTAGTTAAATTTATTTATATAAATAACTCTCAACAAAATATATTACAAAATGTATACATAATTATAATAATATAGGTATAGATAATATTTATATAATATATAAATTACTTTTTAACTAAAAAAAATTTAAAAAATTATAGGTTAATAATATAAATAACTTATTATGTTCAAACAAAAAATATATTTTAAAAGAATAAAGATAATGTATGTATTATATTATTTGATATTAATATGCACATATATATTATAGAATTTATACATACATTTCTTAAAAATTAAAATAAAATAAAAAACATAAGCTTATAAAATATATCTAACTTATATTCAACCAAAAAAATATTTATTTAAGTGATAATATAGTATTACTAAGCACACAAATATGATGCATATATAAATTACTCAATAGATAAAACCAAAAAATAAAATATCTTTAAAAAGAATAAAATTATTATATAATATAATATAATGGATATTATGTAATATATATATTATATATACTACCTACTTCATGTTTTAGTTATAATATGTTCTTTATATTTAAAACAAAATAAAAACTTATGAACTTTTATAACTCTTAACTTGGGTTTAAGAATTAAATGAAAAAAATAATGGAATAAATTGAAAAATAATCAAAGTGTAATAGTGGTCTCTGTATTGGTATATTTTTTTTTCAAACGATTGCTTGCTTGCGCCATCCACTTACTAATTGACAAAGCAATTTCTATATCTGGTACTTTTTCAAATTTTGAGCATAGATGTATTGCTTCTATTAGAATTATACATTTAAAATTTTAAATATATGTATAATTTATGTTAAATATATATGCAGTTCTTACCAAAAATAATTTTACAAGAATTGAGAGATGACAATTTGTTTTTTCCTTTATGTCCAACATATGAATAATACTTCAACCATGTATCATCAAACAATTTTTGCATCATGCGGCGTACTGAGTCTGATATTGATCTACCTACTAATCTGGATAGTTCATTAACCTATTAGTACCAAAAAAATAATTAATATACAAAATGAAAAATAATATGATATTAAGAGTTATTCTTTTTGACACTACACTTACTACTTGGGACCGTGTTGTGGAATTTTCAAGTTCAGTTTCAACATTTTCAAGAGTTTGCTCATTACTGATAGGAACATTTTCAGTGTTCAATAAATTTGAATTGCTGCGATTGTCTTGATGATTATTTAATGAACCAGAGGTGGTCAAAACATTGACAGTATGTTCCACCATACTTTTGATTTCATTTACTGTATATACTAAATTTTTAATATCAAATTTGATATTAGTCAAAGACGTCTTTGTATAATCATAACATTCTGTAAAATTATTAAGTTACAATATTATTGACCAAGAAAAAATAGCATTTGATGTTATAAACTATGGCAGGATTAGGCAAGATACTCAAAAATTATCAAAGATACATGATATACACTGATACTCCATATTTTATATTTCAATGTTTATAATAATAATAGTATCTTGTATCTTTTGGCAAAATAAGATACATGATAAATGTATAAAATGTATCTTAATACATGATGATATTTGATACATTAAAATTATGTATAACGATACAAGGTACAATATACAGTTGAATCTTTGACACTGACCAACCCTAATTATATCACAATATTAAAATAACAAAGTATGACTTACGTTTAAACTCATAAGCAAGATGAGATACTTCATTTAAAGATAAATCGGTACCAGCAACTTCTAATTCACCTGTTGAAAGTTTATCATTCACCATAATTATATCCTCTTCCATAGAATCTAAAATATAACTTACTATTAGTAAAACTTTTATTAATATTAAATTCTCAACAAAAAATTATAGTGTTTATATTTTATAATATATATACTTATATATAAATATCAGATAAATAAAATGTATAATATATTTATAATTTCTTCCCAACATTTTATTATAAACAGATACAAATCACTCCATGTTGGTGTTAAAAGACATAATTAAAACTAAAAAGATCAAAATATAGACAAACAATTGAATAAGAATATAATAATATTTTGTACTTAATTTGGAAATTTAAAATTATATAATGCAAATTAAACACATGTGAATCAATGTTACACAAAAGATTTTGTTGTAAATCTGAATCATCCAATATAATTTAAATAGGTATCCATTAATATATTTCTACATTTTGATCTGGTGAAAAACAAGATTTTTTTCAAAAATAAATTACTATTTATTTAAATATTGATAAAAGCCATTTTACTTGTATTACTAGGAAACAAACACTTTTTGATTTTGCTTAATTGCTTGGACGAAGAAACTTTATATTCATTATTACATTTATTGATAGAGATATTAGGTATTGGAGAAATATAATTGGATTGAACTTTCCATTTTCCACTTGGACTATTTATAATATCAGTGTTATCTAGGTATAATATTTTTTTTATTAGTGAAAAATAAAATACCAAAAAATTAAATTATATTAACTCATTAAAAATCAAAAATATACTTACCTTCTATAATAAATACTTTATTTGAAGATAATTCGTTGTTTTTATCAACATTGCCAATAACATTATAACTTGGGCCTATTATTAATTACAAAACATTAGATGCCTAAATTATTTTATTAAACTTAGCTAGGTTTTAAAAAAAAAGTTTCTTACTTAAATCAAATTTTTTTGAACATTCTGGACTGTACAATTTATCTTTATCACTGTCATCAAAAACACCATCGCTAGAATCTTTGAAATTTAAACTTAGATAAATATAATTTGGTATTAAAATTTAATTATATTTTATATCTACCAGAAAATTCAGGTGCAGAACTATAGTCGTTAATTGGAGGTTTCTTTTTAGTTTTAGTTTTAAATTTGAATTTCACATTTTCCGTTGATGACAAATCTGAAGTATTTTGTGCTTTTAATGCTTTGCATCTGGCTTCATTATAAGAAGCTAGATCATGATAAAACAAAAGAGTTTAATTCAACGTTAATTATAATAGTGACTTTAATAAAACTACATAAATACCTATAGGATTTTGTGTCAACAATCTCGCTTTGAAATATACATAGTCAATTTTATTTGGTTTTTGCATTGATTCAATCAATTTATTCTTATTTTTTATATTTTTTTTTGGCCAAGCGCAATAGCCATGTTTCCACCATGATTTTGGAACAGCTGAGACAGAATTATCATTGATAAAATGTACAATGAACCACATACTTCTGTAAATTAAAATGCATTGAGTTAGTACTTAACTTAAATAGTTACTTTAGAAAGTATATACATTAATTATAAAATATATGTTAGGTATACCTATCAATCAATAATTATGCACATGAAGTATTTTTTCGTTGCTTCAAGAATTATAAAGGAAAAATATATTATACAATTATATACACATTTGGTTTAACATCGGGCTTAACATTCTGAATGTAATATTGGAAATGTAATTTGCTGGTTTTCAAAAGTAAATAACATCATTTTTTTATGAATATCTGTTACTTTCCAACATTTTAAATTATTAGATAAATTGCTCACAATGTAAATATCTAATTTTTCTGAATTAATTGGTCTGTCATAAAATGATTCTTTATTTTTATAATAATATCCAATTACAATAGGTTCTTTAGATAAAACACAATGTGCAATATTAATTATTTTAACTACTTCCATAGCCTTAGTTAGTACATATATGTCTGATGAATTTCGTATATTTATCATCATTTTAGTATTTAATGTAATTTTCATATATTGAGGACCACAGGCAGTTTCCGACAAAGGTCCATTATTATGCTCATAATTAAAAATAATGCTTTTAATGTGTTGTTCACTTGTAGATTCCACAATGAGATTTTGTATTTGTTCATCATATCTCCGGACCACTTGTTCAAGTGGCTTGTGATGTTTCCTTACCATTTTTTTTAAAATTTTCATATGATTTTCAAAAGGAAAACAACAACAAAAATCAAGAGGACCAAAGCGATTATAATCTTTAGATATGTGTATCAAACCATGAACATTATGAGATATATATTTTGAACCATAAATATCTTCAAATTGTTTAACAAAATGCTTTAAAAGTTTATCAGAATAACTCAATAATTTGTCATCAATATTCGGACTTAATAAAATAGTCAATGCAATATTCAAAACCATAAAATGATTATACACCTTATCATCAAGTACATTTTTCAAAGCAAGTGGTCCGGTATAAAGTAAGAACTGACGAAGCTCGGTAGCCTTCCAATGACCAACATCTTGAATTAGTCTTGGTTTTCGTACAAAATCACTAGTTATTGCAGATTTGAGACACATTAAATTTGTACTGATTTTTTTAATTTTCCAACTTGGTAAACGCACAGTCAAAGGACCTTTGTGCAACCAAAAATGAATAAGTTTCCTCATAACTCCTAATGCCACTAGGTGCATATAATCTAAGGGAAATGACTTAACCATATCAAAACCTGGAATGCGTATCAAATCCGATAGTGAATCACCTACATGGTGTTCTTCTTGACTTTTGTTAACATAATCTTCATGTGTTCTTTCTCTAGAATTACTGTCTTTAAATGGGAAACAAGTACTTCCAATATGTTCACCCTCTGCAAAACACCTGGTGCAGGAAAAATAACCAGTATGCCCTTTGGTTTTCATAATAAAAGACTTTGCTGGAGCATCAGCACAAATTGCATGTATAGAAACAGTTCTTATTATATTATCTGTACAAATACCATTTTTAACTAACTCTTCTGCTTCATCTATAAAATTTCTTAAAAAAATATTACTATCAGCTGGTTTTTTATGTCCATGATAAAGACCAATCAAAAATATATACTCTTTATATGGGTCTAGGTATGCTAAAATGGGCCAGAATTGGCTAGAGCTACTTTTTGATAATGGTAAGCCATCTATTCCAACGACTACTTTAATGTTATTTTCAATCCTGATATGCTTTAAAGTATTTTCAATTCCATTTTTTAAGCCAAAGTGATAATAATTACCTGGATTAACAATCCTGATATTTTTTGTTTTTGATGAATTAGAACCTAATAACGTCCTACAATCATTTGGAATTTCAGCAAAACATTTGTGTTGTTTTAAAATTGACAAAAGATCATTCACTGTATTTTGAGCAACATTGCGTTCAATTGCCCAGTTTGCTAATTTTAATTTTAAGATTTCAGAATCATCAGAAAAATGATTTGTGCTTGGGCTGGATCCAACATTGTTTGTAATATCATAGGTAGATTCAACACATTGATTTACAATTGGATTTTCAATGAAAGTATTACTTTTTTGCTTGTGCTCTTGGTATTGTTGAATATCAAAAGTATAGTTTTCATGTGAGTCCAAAACATTTGAATTAGTTAAGGTAGAAGACGGAACAGGTGAATTTTGTAAAACTATATTTGTATCAGGAACTGATTCATTTAATGATTTAACCGAGGGTTTCACTGAATTTAAAATAGTTGCTCGACTATTTAGAAATGCTAGTTCTTCTTGAATTTTCCGACGCTTAGAACGGTAGCTTCGTATCATCTTACACTAAATAATTACAATATTTTTATAAGAACTTAAATTTAATAACAAATTTTTGTACTTTTACTCAGTATTTACTACATAACAGAATTAAAAATTTAAATAATCAAAAATACAAACAAAACTAATAAACTATTAGAGCTTATAATATATGGTATAATAATGTGGTCAACTAATACATTTCATATTATCATAGTATTAGGGTACCTTGGAAATTACCATGGTAGATACCTATTTGAATATGGTATGAATATTATAAGAAATTATAATAGACAATAATTAAGTATTTAAACAAGAGTATAATAGGTAGGTAAATGCATTTACCTATGTATTGTATTCAGTATTGAAATAAAAAATTTAAACAAATAAAATATGAGATTACTAAAGTGCCCCTTTGTACAATTTTCATGGCAGTTTATCATTTACATAATCATTCACCATAAAGGAAAATAAAAATGTTTTAAAACCATTTTAAAGTACACATATGTGCAGTTATAATAACATAACAATGCTGAATACAAATATAATATAAGCTGTAAAATGCAATAACGGTTTAACTAATACAAGCCAGCAACCAAGTTAATCATGACTAGATAACACGGATCAGATAGGTACTTTATTAGTATTTAAGCAACTAATTTATTATTAACTAATTACCTATGTAACAAAACAAAACATTTCGGTAGTTTGTCTTGGCATAATAACCAATAACAATAATGGATAAAGGATAAAGCCCAACAAATTACGAAAGAACACCCAGGTACCTATTCGAAATTAAAAAATCTACAAGAGCAACTCATATAAAATATGTTTATTACCTACCTAGGTACTTATTCTTGTTTAATTTATCAGATACTATTTAGCTAAGTAATTTTAAGGCTGATAGGCAAATACTTTCGCATAATTAAAGATATATAGTTACATTACAATTAAAACTACAATAATAATATGAAATAGGTACTTACCAGATTTTATAATATTCACCAATAACTGACCAACTTGTTAAACTATTTATTATAAAAATAATAAAATATAAAATAAAATATGTAAGTGCAGAGTCGTATTGACGGATACTAGCTTGCGGCAGTCAATAGCCATAGAACGGATGGAAAACAAAAACGTCAAAAACTTTAACAGTATAGACACCGAAGGGCAAAGAAAAAGCGTAGTAACGTAATTAAGTAAATCGCGGCACAACGGCGATCGAGTGACGAGCGTAAACCGTTGGAGATGCCCACCACCATCCGCGTCTCATGGCACCTCGTGTCCTTGCGACATTGCAACCAATAGCAGCCCGCAGGAGGCAAGCCGGCAAACCGATAACGCCGACCGACTATCGCCTGTCGGGTAGCGGGCAGTGGATGCATTGTTCATTGGGATTTCCAAATTCAAATAAAAATATGAGACGAAGAAATAAGATAAGAATATTAATCAAGTTTTAGTGCTGCAATGAGTTATTATTACCATAGACATTAGACATAATAGAATATTATATTATAATTTATAAAAATGAGCACATTTCGTTGCGGGATTAACCCGTATACTTTTAAATCTCTAACTGATAGACGTGTTGAATTTGATTTTACCTTTATTTACAAATTATTGAACAATGGTATTGATGCTCCTGATTTACTTGCTAAATTATCTTTAGCAGTTCCTTCTTTTTATTCAAGAAATCCCCAAACTTTTAAAACAATTTTTCACACCACTAACTATGGGTACGCAGCCCCTCTCGATCGTGCTTGTCGATCTATTAATAATATGTCAAATATTGATATTTTTAATGATTCTTTGCCATCATTAATTCTTAAACTTAAAAATTGTACTTGTTAATATTTTCTTTAATTTATTCTTTACTCATGCACCAATGTTCTTTTTTCTTACCTTGTAATGTTATATACAATCCATAATAAATTATATTCTGTACTATAATACTTATGCCCCTGAGGCGTTGATAAATAAAAAAAAAAATAATAATAATATTATATTTTATATTCTATTATGTCTATGATTATTACTTATATTTTATAAAATGAATATAACTTAATAAATACCAACTTAAATAATGCAATTTTAATAATAGTGGTAATGGACTAATACCAGAGATGAAGAAAACCCGATACCAACATTATTAGAAAGATGATTAAAATAATTCGAGTAATATAATATCTTCAGCTATCATATTAATCACAAGAGGAACATATTAAGGTTAACAATGTTGGCACCTACAAGGTAACTCATGAAGTTTAGGCAGAGTACCTCTATGTTAGGAATTGGGGACTTGTTTAAAATTTCAAAATTTAATTAATACAAAAATATGTAATAATGATGCAGTATCTGCATATATTTTGTTGTAACTTGTTTTAAAAATATTGTTAAAATATTATTTTATAATATTGTTACAACTATCTTGAAGAAATATTGGAACGTAAAATACCCTATAATATTGACACAATCTTTTAAAGAAATATTGTCAAAATGTTTTAATTATGTATTTTATAAAACATTTTTTATTACATATAAAAAATACATTGTGCCAATAATTAAACCAAAATGTTGTCAAAATAATTCTGGAAACATATTTTCGAAATGTGATATCAATATTTTTTAACAATATATTGCTCATACATGTAAAAAACATATTGCAAAAATGTGTAATTTAGTAATATTGTAAGCAACATATGTGTTAAATATTGAATATGTTTAAATTGCTATGTGGGATTATTATTAAAATATTTTGTTAAAACGTTAAACGGTAATATGGGCAAGCGGAATCCAGTTGAATCTGGTATAGTAATATTTAATTTGATTTATAGTTTATATTTTTATTTTTATATAGCATTTAATAATTAATATGTTTTTAATTTTTACACCATTAATTTTCTATAGCATTATATCTTGATCTTCGCTTCCAACATTTGATGTCTGAAGAATCTAAATCAAGAGCAGTAGTTCATTTAATTAAAACATGGGAATTGTTGAATCGTTTAAAAAATCGTTTTCCAACCTCTACAGTTGAAACGGAGGATAACAGCGTTAACTCTAATACATATGACAAAAGAATAGATGATGACACAGATGATGAATTTCAGGTATATTTGAACTCTCTATCAAATTCACAAGAATTCCCAGAATCAAGTTCTTCCACAACGACCACAAGTTATAGTACAGCTACTCCCATTAGAATCATTCTTAATACTTTTGAAAATTCAACCAAAATGCCATATAGTGAGGATATAATTGCTTTTTGGAAAAATAAAAAAAATGAAATGCCAGAGCTATATCAGCTTTCAAAAATATTTATGGCAGTACCAACCACCCAGGTAATTTGGTGTTATTTTGTATAAACTATAAAGTATAAAACTATAAACTGTATTAATTTTATAAATTTGTTACTTGTTATAGGTGTCTGTAGAAAGATTATTTTCATCATTAAAGTTTATTTTGAATGATTTACGGTCAAATTTAGGAGCAAACGTTCTTGAACAAATAATGATACTACGATCAAACTTAGTAATTTAGTAAAATACTAAAATTAAAAAAGTGAAATGTATTTATGCATAATACCTATAGGCTATAAGTTTATAACATAATAAAAATATTAGTTATGAAAAGTACAATGTTATTTTCTTGTGTTGTTGTAATCAATATACAATTTTGATATACCTACCTACTTAAATATTTAAGTACATATTTAACATTTAATATATTGTTTAATGTTTATAAAGGTTATTATTTTATAATTGTATTTGAATGAAACTTTATCAAAAAGTTAAAAGTAATAAACTAGAAAGCCTTAAGTAACAAATTACAATTGCCTAGTGTCTTAATGAAATGTCAAGTCTAATCGTTATTGGTTTGTAAATAATAAGTTTAAGGCTAATTAAGTTTTAGTTATAACATAACTTTATAAGGCTTAAGTTTTTTCTAGATATTTTAAATTCTTTGTATCCAGGAGAAAAAATTGTGAATAAACGTTATTCAATTATGAACCTAAATTAAAAGGGTGTTGCATTAAAAATTCAAAAAAAAAACTTAAATTTTTTTTTTACCTATATATGAGCGGTTAACCGAAGACCAAAACCTTTGTAAAAGAAAACCGGTTTTAAAAACCGACACCAAAACCTACAACTTTTATTTTGAGTATTAAAACCGGGGAGCAAAACCTTAAATATAAAAAACCGGTTTTAAAAACCAAAACCGAAACCGCCAAACTTTTTTTTGGTTTCCGTCCCTGCAATTTATAGATCATAACTCAGTTGAATAAATGCTGCTATGCTGTTGTTAATGCTATTATTACACTCAAATATGTATAAATTATGAAATAATGAAGTACACATTCTTTTTTATAAGAACCAATATATTCATTATTATTTTTTTTTTAAATAAAAATGTTTGATTTCGGCCAGCTATTCATCCTCGGGGGGGGGGGGGGTGTCAACACATGGTATGCAGGAGGGCTATTCTGCAAATTATACTACGCCATGTACGCGCGCACTTGGCTTACTTTACTGGCTTAGTACTATTCCGCTAAAATTCTCGCTATGCATACTTCGCGTACTCGGCGTACTGTCCTTTCTTAAGCTGGTTACACACGGAGCGGTTTGGCCGCGCGCGGTCGCGGTTTTTATCCGCGGCGGATAACCGCTGACAATTAAACACGGGTTATTCAATTGGCATATTCATACGGGAAAAACCGCGCCGCTGATCGGCGCGGTCAACCGCCTGCGACCGCTCTTGTTTAATTTTCGAGCGGTTGACCGCTACCGCTCACTAAAATTAAACAATGTTTTTCCAATAGACCTGTTCAGACGGGCGGTTTGGCCGCCGCGGTTCGCTAGCGCCGGGTCTTGTAAAAAATATTTAAAAAATCATGATTGAAGTGTGAACTTGGTAAATTCATTGCTTCAATGTTACATTTGTATTTACAAGTGGAAATTTTATAAATAGTTAAAAATTATTCGATATTGATCGAGTGTAATATAGTACTATATGTATTGTGACCCCCAAGATAACGACCAGTTGTCGTGTGTGTATACGTGATATAGTGATGGGCGAGGGGGAGACATGGTGGGACCGAAAGAGTGCCGAGTGTCAACAAGTCGAGGCGAGTAGTGGACAGGTTGAAACAAGTGCTAAATTAATAATGTTTCGCCCTGACAACGGAACTCTTGCAATGTCTGAGGACAGTGTACTACCGTCTACCGATATTCATAGGTCACATAGTAGTTTTTTTACAGTCGTACCTATTTAGTATTCAGTTTTAAAATGATCGATACTGAACAATTTATAATTGAAATTCAACAAAATGATTGTATCTGGAACAAACGTAAGTATTGCATTGAACATTTATATTTTATTTATTAATTTATATAATATTTCAACTTGCAAGTTATAAGTATTATAACTAACGACAACTAAAATATCTAAGACGATAAATCTAATTTAATTAATATTAGAATAGAAGTTATTATATTATAAAAATTATATATTATAATTTATAATGTATTTAGAGGAAAAAAGTCATCATGATAGTCAGGCGATTCAAGTGGGATGGACAAGTGTAGCAAATGCTTGCATTCAGAAATTTAATGAACTGGACGATAAACAAAAATCGGAAAAAAGTAAAATTTAGATTAATATAATTATTATTAAACAAACTAGTTTTAGTTTAACAAATAAAATACACGGTTTTATATAAACAATAAAAAAAAGATCACCTAGCTGTAGTCATATAGGCGCCCACTTATAATGTTAAAATGTCCGATATTATTCACCAATAATTTTGTTCTGCCAGCTAAGTGCATGATTTGGATCATTCACATATGTCACGAAGTATTCCCTAATATCTTTTGCGTTGGTCTGTGAATTTCCAACACCTCTTCTCTCCGTTATACTCTCCATAAGATTGCTTTGAGTGTCTTCAAAAATACCTTCACCGTCTCCTCCGTCTCGGCGTCGTACAAAATTATGTAAGACGCAGCAGGCTTTTGTTATTTTTACTGCAACATTTGGGTCAACTAACATGCTCGTTTGAAACACTCGCCATTTTTTAGACAAAATCCCAAACGAACATTCTATGTATTGACGGGCCCTCGATAGACGATAGTTGAAAATCCTCCTGTTGTTGTTCAATGTTCTGCCTGGAAACGGTCGTAACAAATGTTTGTGAAGAGCAAAAGCTACATCGGCAACTAAAATAAACGGCTGTGGCACACCATTATCATCACCTGGTAAGCATTGATCTGGTGGAAAATTTACACTACCCGAGTACAACTTTTTACCGAATGTTGAAGTTTTGAATACGTTACAGTCGCTTTCTTTCCCATAGGACCCAACATCGATGATTCGAAAACAATAATTTGAATCACAAATGGCCATAAGAATTAGGGAAAAAAAGTTTTTGTAGTTATAATACAATGAGCCACTGTTGTTGGGACACTCGAGCCTTATGTGTTTTCCATCCACCTATAATTATATTATACAGTTTATTTGAGGATATGTGATAATGTGAAATTAACTGGTAAAAATGTACGTACATTTACGTACAAATTGTTAAAATCATAAAGTTATAATACCTACATTTTGTAAGCACTTATCTATGTTTATTCGTTTTTTTTTTAAATCAATAAAATGAGTAGGTAAACAAATAAATAAACATACCGCTCCAACAGTATTTGGAAAGTTCGTTTTTTCGTAAAAACCTTTCGATATATCCAGCCAGTCATTTGTTGTTGGTTCCGCCATTTCTAAAGGTTGTAACACTTTCCATAACACATCGCAAGTTTCTTGGACTATCTTTGCTATAGTAGATACTCCTGCTAAAAACTCAAAGTGTAACGCCGTGTAATGTGTTCCTGTTGCCAAGTATCTGAACAAATATTTACAAATTATGACACAGTTGAACATTGTTGCAATGTTGAAAAAAATTTCGAGTAACTGGAATATATTATTTTAACAAATAAAAAGTAAAAGTAAAATATGTAAACAATTATATTTTTTAGTTTTTTTATAAAATAAATTAAATTTGTCCTGTATTTAATTAATTTTAATATTTTATCTACTTTGAACATTTAATTTTGGTCATTGCATTGCATATAATTAAATAAATAAATACATAAATAAGTAATATCTCAATTATTTTATTTTTCACTATGCTTAACCATTAATATTATTTTGGATATTGTCTCATTATTTAAATAAGTAATTAAATGTGTTGATTTAAATTAGTAAAAGATCTCAAAATAAAATGGAAAAATATCAAGGACAATTACAGAAAAAAGTGTATACATAAATCCGGGCAGGCAGCAAAATCAGACAAACCTTATGTATATGCAAATATTTTAGAGTTCCTTCGACCAACAATGGAAAACAGAAAGTAATGTACTGATTTTTTTTACATAGTTAAATCTTCTAAATACATTTTAAATATGATTTTAATATTATTCTAAAGCACTGAGAGTAACGTTGCTGTACAAAACGACAGAGAGTACACCACAGACAATGAAAATGATATAACCGCAGAAGCTAACCACTCGGGTGTATCTGAAGAAGAGTCTCCAGCTGTTCATCGAAAAAAAAAAAAGACTACAGAAAATTCTTTTGAAAACCAATTAATACGTGTATTAAAAGAACGCAGAGTTTCAGACGATCCGGTGACATCATTTCTGATGTCTTTGGATCCTCAAATCAGAAAAATGACAGAAGACCAGCAAAATCAAGTTTATATTGAAATGATACAAATAGTTCAAAAAGTAAAAACTTCTAATAATTCTGATCAAATTCAACCACAGTCCATTCCTTCTTCAATTAACAATAGTACTTTTCAACCCTTGCAATATTCATATAATAATAGTAACTCATACCCGACATACCCTTTCAATTTCCACCTACCAACAACTTCATACATTTCAAGTGCCTCACCAACACCTTCTACAAATACAAATATGCCCATAAACTATGAACCTCATAATATAGCTGGGAACAATTCTAACATTCACAGACATCAAGTATATTACCCACATACCCAATCATCTGCTCTTACTCCACAACTACCCGTTACACCAAATAATACTGCAACTGTTAACTCATACTATTCACAAAAAAACTCCCCTCACACTGAATCTTCTACTACATCTGTACCAACAGGTCACTCTGACAATAGTTACTACACTAAAAACTTAACTCCATATGACACGGGTAACACAAATTCACAATAAATAACATTTTATTACTTTTTTCTTTTTTTTTATATTTTACAGTTATTAGTACTGTACGTTATAACTACTTATAATATTTTATTCATGTATAATTATTATTAATATAATTATCTTATACAAATTTTTATATAATTAATAGGTATAATATTAAATAATGTTTTGGTTATGTTTATTTATTTACAAGATGTAATAATTATGTTTATATGAACCATTTTTTTTTAACTATGCTTAATAAAATATGTACTTACCTACAGTGCCGGATCTTGAACTCTGGGGGCCCTGGTGCAAATGAAAATTAAGGGGCAACTTTGAAAAACAATAATTTGCAGTACAATATTATACCTTTATATTTCTACTACAAATTAAATTCCATTATAAATATATGACCTAATTTTAACGTCATATAAATATAGGTAATATAATATTTAAAATTAATCTTAAATAATAAAATATTTATTTAACATAATTTGTATTTATTACATAATAATAATAATATTATAAACCTAAGAATCATGAAACATGTATATTTTTTTTTTACAAATAGTATATTAGATTTATAGAATCAATTTTTAATTTATTTCTACCGGTGAATGAATTATTGTGAAGCAATAAATTTCAAAACATTCTATTTTAAAAAATTTTTTTTCCTTGATTTCGCGTTGGCAAAATTATCAATAATCTTCTCAATATTTAGAGTTTTGGTTCGCTCTTTTTCTATATTTAAAATTGCTATACCAGTTAAACGTTCTTGTCCGCATGAGTTTCTCAAGTAGTTCTTTATTAGTTTTAGTTTCGAAAAAGAACGTTCTGCTCCTGCTACAGTAATTGGCATCGTCAGAAAAATTATGCAAGCACTTAAAACATCTGGAAAGCTACTTGATAAATCGTTATTTATAATAAAACTACCTAAATGTTTAATTGTATTTAATTTTTCATGTTTTATAAATGATTTTAAAGATAACATTTGTCGTGGGAAGTCAGAATTTATATCGTCTTTATATGTTAAACAAAAATCGTATGATGCTTACATAATATTTTCTTCGGTTTGTGTTGAAAGAATAATAGGGTTTAAAAAATTGAAATCCTCTATAACATCATGCATACCTTGAAACCTACTAATTAGTTGAGACAAAACTGTATCCAACACAGGGAAAAATATTTTAACTTTAAAGTTTTCTTCAGTTGTGTTAAGTCTCCTATCTCCATTTAAATTGTCATAAAAATGTTTTTTGGCATACGATTCTCTTTTTTCTACAAATTTATTGGGGATTCCCCATCTTGAACACAGCGATTTTGCATTATCAAGTACATTATCATCGTAACTATTTCTTGTCTCTTGAATAAAATTAACTGCATTATTTAGCATTTTAGAAGCTTCTTCTAGGTTCATATCTACATTTTGTAATTTTTTAGAAATTACTCTTAATGATCGTAATATAGGTTCCCAGGTACACAAGATTAAAACAAATTCAAAATTTTCAATTTTACTTTTCAAGCCAGATGCCAAGGTTCGTTCGGTTGTTTTCTTGCTGGTAAGGGCCATACAAGTCAAAGCTTTAAGTACATCAATGAAACGTTCTTTGAGCGAAAACACAGCATCGTGTCGAGCCTCCCATCTAGTTGGGCATACCTTTTTTAAAACTTTTTTTTGAACTGTATCGCCAAAATGTTGACCTAAAGCTAATAAAGCCCATCTTGGGGCACTACTGGCAAAAAAGTTGAACACATTTTGAACAGTTTCAAAAAAATTTTTTATTTTATTGTGACACTTAGCTGCATCCGAAATAACCAGATTTAAATTGTGGCTACAGCAATGGACATACTTGGCTGATGGAACAATATGTTTTATCCTTGTTTGCACTCCAGAATGTGCTCCACTCATGACAGAAGCTCCATCATATCCCTGGCCTCGACATTTGTTAATATTTAAACCAAGTTTTATTAAAACGTCTTGCGTAAGGTTTACATAATCAACTGCACCGTGACTTTTTAAGTTATAAAATCCAACAAATGATTCTTTGACTTCCAACGTCTTACTTTCATAATTGACAACAACATAACGGATGATTATACTTAACTGATCTAATTTTGTTATATCTTGGGTCGAATCAGTAATAATTGAAAAACATTGGCATCCATTTATTTCAGCGCAAATTGTTTTAAGTAAATCGTTTGACAATATAATAATGAGTTCATCAGTAATAGTATGACTTAGGTACTTGACTTTACTTTCTTCACAAGATATAAGTTTACTTAATATATGATCATAATTTGCCATGAGTCGAACAGTTTGTAAAAAATTCCCTTCATTAAATGAGTTGTCCTTGCTAAATTTCTTTTCATTACCACGAAGTGCATTATTTCCAGCAGTTAAGTGCAATATAATTCTAATTATTCTCTCTAATACACTCCTCCAATAAGCTGCTTCTTCTGAAATTTGATTTTCCAATTCCTTTTCAATTACTTGATTTTTTGTCCATAAGCATCTTATTTTAATAGCTTCAATATGTTGAACAGAAGTATCATGAGTATATATTTTTTGCGAGGCATGTTGCCAATCATCAATTCCATAGATCCATGTTGCATTATAATGTTTGTAAGATCGGTCAGCAAAAAGCCAACATGTCTCACAGTATATTTTATTTAAAATTATTGAATAACAAAGCCAAGTGCGAGGGATTTTATTACCAGATTTAGACATTGTAAAATAATAGTCGGAGGAAAATTTTCTGTGTTTTTCATTTTGAGGAAATTCAATATTTGGTTTGCATGGTCCATATAAAAGTATACTCCGTTTAATTTTATCTGGGACTCTATCATCACTGAAGTGTCCGCGGTCTGTTGGGTACTCATTATTTAAATTTAAATCTAACTCGTCTTTAATACATTCAACTAAAATTTACAAGATAAAATTGTTAAATTAATTATAACTTATAAGACCAACTTCAAACCTTAAATACTTACTGGAGGTAGATGCCACAGGATCAACATAGTCCAAAATTTGTTCTACAACAACTTTATCTTTACCATCAACATTGTCATTATTATTTAAATTGTCTCCAGAGTTCAATGATTCAAGCTCAGCTAAAAAATATAGTTTATTTTCAAGCTATTATTTATGAAAATATCTATTATGTTATAACACTGTGTTATTAATTAAATAATTGTAAATTTAGATTTGATTATATTTGTTGAATATACCTATATTTTTCTTAACCCCTCAAAATTGTTGAATTCATTTTAAGATTAACTTCTAACCTTAGATACTTACTGGAGGTAGATGCCACAGGATCAACACAGTCCAAAATTTGTTCTAAAACAACTTCATCTTTACCATCAACATTGTCATTATTCATTAAATTGTCCACGGAGTTCATTGATTCAAACTCAGCTAAAAAAAATAGTTCATTTTCAAGCTATAATTGAATAATAACTGATAAATAATATTGATAATAACTGAAAGTTTTTCCATAGATCAATAACTCATAAGTAAAGACCTGATTTATATGCATTTTACATTGCCAACTAGGTATAATTTTTGTAAACTCCATGTCTCTATTTGTTTATAACTTATCTACTTACTTTTTTTTTTAAAAAATCGGTCCATTGACCCAGCCATTTTTTTATTTTTATTTTCTCTTTCTTCTTTCATTTTTCTTTTTGCTGATCCGGATAAATACTGCCTTGACATTGACATAATTTAAGTCGACAATATTAGTTATATTTATAATATATTTTAATTAATTAAAAAATAGTCGGACGCGCAATTGAAACATACCCCACACGCGATGGCCGATTAATGATAAATTTAATGACTATGAAAACTACGAGTATAATATATAATTCGTTATTGTACTTTTGGGAAATGTTCAATACATCTATTTTTAGTTTTGGTCGTGCTGCACTGAATGTAACGCGACGCGGGACGTTATCATCATTCGGCGTATTGGTCAATCGGTGTAACA